CCAGGAGTTCACCACAGCCAGCGTGGGAAGAGCCGGGAAAGCACGGTGCGAAAGACACATGGAGACAACAAGGGTTGAAGGGCATAACATATTCACAAAGTGGCAAAAACTAGGTTCTGTCGTGGGGAGTGATGGGCGATGTAGGCTGGGGCAAGATGGTGAAAGGTCCCGAGTCTTCCTGCAAGTGAGGCACCACGAAGGTCTTTATGGAGTAACCTCATCAAGTATGTGTGTTAGAAAGAAAATGCTGGCAGAAATGGAGAATTTTCAGAAAGAGACCAAAAGTTTAGGCAAGAGCTGAAGAGGAGGACCTAAAGCAGGGGAGGGAGATGGAGAACAGAGGATGGATTCCAGAGGCAGAAATGGGTCACCACAGGTTAGTGACAGAATCCATAGCGGGGATGTGATTTGATGGGGAAGAGTCAAAAACGACTTGAGCAATGGGATGGAGGAAGGAGATGGACTCTGTGCCGGCCAACATATTTTAAAAATACTACCTCAATCTTTACAACTCTGTAAGGGGGGCAGAATTAGCCCCATTTCACAAATGATGCTTAGAAAAGTAACACTGTTTTGGATGATCATCTGCAGTTGAGGGGGGAATTCAGACTAGAGATATATGTCGGGGAGTCATCAAAGTAGACACTGGTGGTGGCTGAAGCCACGAATGAGGCTAACACTGCCCAGCAAGAAAACAGAGGCAAGAATGAGCTGGAAGAACACTCACATTTAGGAGAACAGGAGGCAGCAGTGGAGGTGGATAGGAAACTGGTGGTGATGTCGAGGGAGAATCTCATGAAGAGAGTGTCGAATACTGCAGAGCTAGAATCTGACTAGGACCAAGATGAAGAAACGAGATTTGCCATTGCAAAGGTGAGCCAAAACGGCTTTCCCATGGCAGTGGTGGAGGCAGAGGGCAGGCAGCAGAGGGCTGTGAAGAGTGCAGGGATGGGGCTGGGGGGCTTGAGGAGCTTGGTTTAAAAAGAGATCACCTTGAAATGTCACAGACTATGCTGTACCCAGAACTCATAAAGAGAGGGCCGGCAGTGTGGTTATGCCAATTGCTCCAGCTGCACTTGGCAGCTCAGGCTCCAAACCAAGTAGAAACGGACAATGGAGCCAGCATTTGGCAGTGGGAGAACAGGGACGGTGAGACAGGCACAAGGACACAAAGGACTCTGGAGCCTTCTAGAAAAGCTGCCCTTGCTGGGACACTAGTAAAAGTTTTTTAAACTCTTAACCATTTGGAGGGTCCATTTGGCATTTTTTAACAAAAAACAAAGCCAGGGTTTACCTTTGTATTATGTAAAAAGGATGTGTAAACAGATAATTAATGCTAACAAATTTAATTCAAAAAGAATAAACTGTCTTTAAGCACATCAGAGGCACCTCTGGAACAGGATGAAAACTGATAGACCAATTTACTAATTACTCTTCAGACCGATTCCCCAAAGGTTTCTATTTAGCAAATACTTTAAAAGACACTGAGTACAAAAAGGAATAAAAGCCTATTCGTTTATATTTCTTTATTCAGTCTGGCTGCCATCCCAATTAGATAAAAGGGAGGTTTTACTGGCCGTAACATCTAGCACTTGCTAGCACTTGCTCGTTTTCAAAGCACTCTAAACTGGTTTCTCACTCTTCACACTATCAGCAGGGAACACATTAGCAACCCCATTCTGTGGGGAAACCAAGGCCAAGGGAGGTGATGCAGCATACCCCAGCTTACCCCGCGTTCTTGCCTCCAAGTCCAAGGTTGTTTCCTGTACCTGTTCTCCTGATCCGTAACCTCCTGGGCATTCTGGAACACCTTACTCCCCACTTCTCATCTCTGACTTTGCGGACTCCACTGATTGAACTACTACTTAGTAACACAGGTCTGAATCCCCTGCCCACACTGGTTCTTACGCAAGGCAGTCCTTTCTGTAAAATATTCCAAAGAGGCCCTCAACCACCAGGCTGGTGAGGGTCCCTGTCGTCCCTCAGCCAAGGTTCCTCTCTCCTCCAGATCCCCATCTCACCAGGATCACAGGGACACTTGCCACTACTGCAGGAAACATAGGCTCTTCCTGCAATAAAATTAAAGCAGCTAACATTTATTGAGCACCTACTGGTTGCCATGAACGATGTGCTAAGAACTATATATACATTACCTTATCCTCACAACTCTACAAAAATGGACTCATTTTGCAGATGAAGATATTGAGGTTGAGAAAGGCTAAGTTCTTCCACAAGGTCATCCAGTTAGCTGCTGAGGTGGTCTGTCAGACTCTAGAACCCATTTTATTTTTACTCTGCTACACTGCCCAGGCTCACCACTCTGCAAATACTTAGACACACAACAAAGTGGAAAAGGAAAAGTGAGGCAAGACAGGGGCCATTTCATTTTCACTGCCTGGCTCCTAACCCAGACTCTGCGAGGCTAATTCCACCGTGTTTCACTCGGCTGACAGTCCCACCGGCCCAGCGCCCTGGGAAGCTGACAAGAGTCAAAGGGCTCCCTGGCAGGCTTGTCCTGGCAGCTGCCCAGCTGACTTGTGCTAACACAGCAACAGGCACAGGAAAGGGTCTGGAGAGAATGGAAAAGCACCAGACACTGAGCCGGTGCAGGGAGAGAAGCGATTCCTGCCGTGCTCGGACAGGATAACCCTGCTCTAAAGCTACCACCATCATAGGGCTGGGAAGAGATGGGGGAAGGGAGTAGGAGGGCCAAGCAAAAAGCCCCATGCATATCCACTTACTAATGTATTTCAGTGAACTGTGACTGTTAGGCCAATCAAAGAGGGTCACATGCCTCCAAGGTGAATCAGCAAGCATGAAAGAAAACCAATAACGCGCCCTGGTTCATCCCAGCACCCCGACCTGTCTTTGCCCACATCCACATAAACCCTGCTCCCTGACGTCACCTGAGCAGAGGCAAGACAGCATGCACTGTCTTATAGCTACCGCAGCAGCAGATCTCAGCCAGGCCGTGGGAAAGCAAGATCTCGCTGAGAATATTAATAGACTTGCTGGAGGCAGAAATTCAGTGAGGATGTGCCCTAAGAAATGAAATGATTTAAAAGGGGCATAATCAAAGTGAGACTAGAAGAAGGGAGCAACTTGGATTTCCAAAAATAAGGCTTCCTCAACCAGGCACAGAGAGGAGGCACACAAGTGGAGACAGGGTTATTCTAAAACATCTGAAAATCCCAAACTGACTGTGGGAAAAGTTGTTTGGAATTGTTTCTGTAGGCTTTCCATCCTCAAGTGTTTTTCTTATACATGCAGGATGCCTGAAAGTGTTTTCAGGGAAACCAATTCTGAGATCTAATATTTGCCACAAGTTGTTAGATCACTAAAAAATGCATACCTCTCCGATGTCATTAGCAGAGGGGCAGTTTGAGAGGTTGCAAACTGGCAGCCGCTGGGTCAAATTACCCCCACAGGTATGTTAGCATTTCTAGCATATGCTTAAAAATTTTTTTTAATTATCAACATTTAAAAATCAGAAGTATGCACAAACAGACCTGTAATTTCTAGCATCTTTTAGAAAAATTGGGAAACCTCGTACCACTGGGTAAGCAGCACAAATTGGAAGATGCTGAATCACCATTGCCCCCTTTCGGCAGGCCTGTGCTTTCTAGTTCCCAACTGGGCCAACCTGGTGGCTCATTTAAGTCACCAGACTGAACCCTGCAGGCATCAGGGTTTGCTACTCCTGCAAAGTAGTAGCCCAGGGAAGAGAACCCAGGCTTGGTAATGCCCAGGACTGCCACGGGGCGGCGGCAATGGTCTCTCAATGAGGCATGCCAATCAGCCAGGGCCTGTAACCAGAAGCTGAGCTTAGTAGATCCCTTCAGAACCAGAAATCTCTTCCCTATTTGGGTAGGCAACAATCTTTCCCCACACTCCCTATCAGCTTCATTTCCTGGGAAGCAACAGCGGCTCATTTCAGCATTCCCACTAGGCCTGAAGACACTGAGGACAAGCCATTGACTCGACCTGCTCTCTGCTCTCTGGCCACCACCTTCCAGGTCCTCCCAGCACCTCCCACTCCTCAGCTGGCATCTCTACCTGTTCAGGAATTCTGCCTTCACCCACCAGTTTACACCATCAGGCCTCAGGGGAGAGATCCTGATAAGCGGGGCCAATGCCCTCCCCTTTTTAAAGGCAGTTTTATTCATCAAATGCTCATGACTTCCCTTCGCTCTCTTAGGCTAAACATCAGTCAGCTTCACCAGGCAACAGATTCTTATGCATCTTCCTGCCCTCTGCTCTCACTCCCCTTACAGCCTCACCAGCAACACGTGCAGTGGCAACACTCAGTATAAACTCCTAGAGCCCTTTAGGAAAGACATTTGGTATTATGCATGGAGACCCTCAAAACTGCTCATCCCATTTCATCCAAAATGCAGGAAAAGCTTTATATAACGTTCACTGCAGTATTTAAACTAGTGAACAACCAGAAACAATTCAAAGCTCTAGCAATAGAGAAATTGTTAAAAATAAATGTATGCTATATTCCCACTTGATGGGCAATTATGTAGCTACTAGTAACAATTATGATGAGCATGTGATAAAGTGGAAAATGATTATATGTAAAAACATAATTAAATGTACAGTAATGATAACCATCTTTAAAACCTATGTAGAGAATTAGTGAAAGACAATAAAATGTTAACAGTTGGTTGTATTAAAGAGCTGGAAGCATATGTGACCTTTTTTTAATCCCTACCAAATTTTCTTTAATGTGCATATATTACTTTTATAGGGAAAAGCATGTGTTTATGTGTGGTCTATTCCAGTTTACTAATAGACCTGAAGGTGCTACAGCCTCTTGTTATCATACTCTTGGGAACCTCTGCCTCCAAGATTCAGTGCAACCAAGCTAGTAAAACAGTTTCCAGCCCGCTCCCAGAGTCCTTAAACACCAATGTTATCCTGCCCCGAAATGCCTGCACTTGCCTAAGTCCTAAGGAGACCCCAAATACCATCTGGAAAACAGGATTCAATCAATATGGTTCTCAAACACAACTTTAATCAAGTTCTGCATTATACAGTGATGGGAGGTGGAAGATGGTGATTGTTTTCAAGCAAATTCACCAGGCACATGTTTCTCCCTGCCCCAAAGTGAGCAGCCTGGGCTTCCCAGAACAGAGAAATGCTTTCCTTCCCCAGGGAATCCCATTCCTGAGCTGACAAGACAGAATTTCAGGAAGAACGAGCACAAAGGATAGGGCGAACTCGTGAAGGGAGCCGTGTAGATTTCTGAATTCTTCCCAGTGCAAAATGAAACTGGACATGTATATATCCCTCTGAAAAGCAACACCCAATCCCGGCCATTCCCACTTGAGGCCACAATGCCTCTCCATGGAGACTGGCAGCCAATGTTCATTTCATAACACTCCTCTTGGAAGTACACCCATAAGTTGGGATGCCTGAGCAGCTGTGGCCACCACGCAACAGATGCAGCCTTCTGGCCAGAACCCTCAAGAGCCTTCCTCTTCACTGGCCCCTCAGCTGCTGCTGTGTCTGCCTGACCATCAAGGAGTAGCCAGTATGTGTGTAGCTGTATGGTGGGGGATGGGCCAGAATAAGCAACAAAGCAAATCGGATGTGGGTTCTGCAGCTGAGTCGACAGGGTGCCAGGACCAGTCATGGCCCACAGTAGGACCATAGGGCCCTGTGTCCTCCATTAATTCTTCTCCGGTCGGTTTCTGTTCAGGACAGCTTTAGGGGCAAATTCCAGCTTGTCCTTAAGGCTCACCACCTGGGTGTGGTCCTTGCCTAGCAGCTCATCCAGCTTCCGATCCTCCCGGCGCTCTGAGATGCTCTTTTCCTCCTCCACAGGCTGGGGATCCTTTCCCCTGATAAACCATTCCAGGTGGTAGCCCACAGCCCCAACCACAAAGGCCACAGGGAATGTGACATAGGGAGCATAGGTACGCACCACGGTCCAAAACACTGGCCACATGACATCTGCAGAAGAGCACAAGGCAGTATTAGGGAGAACCCGGCATCCCCTCCCCCAGCAGATATGGACAACCCACCAGGGCTCTGCACTTACCAGGCAGCATGGCACAACTTCCTAAACATCCACCCTATGCAGAGCAATGCAAGAGCATACCTTGATTTATGCAAGAGGTGGGTCCCTGAAACCATCTAGGAAATTTTGAAAGATTCACTTGTTAAACAAGGGGTAAAGGATCTCTATGTACTATCCTCTTTGACAGTTGTGCACCCATGTATAGCAGTATTCCTCACAAGGGGACCTCTGAGCCTTACCGGATAGACTTCTATGAAATTTCTCCATAAGCACAGCCAAGCACCCTTTCCCCAACACATACAACCCCACTGTGAATCTCCTGGCTCCACAATAATCTCCTTCTCCTCTTGTAAAGTATAAGAAGCATATTTAAATAGCCAAATCCATAATCCATTACCTAACCATTCTGGTTTTTAGACAGATAAATAGGTAATGGTTTTATCCTATTCTGAACTTGGCTTTTCTAACAATGAGTCAAACCTATACTCGACAAATCTGCTGACCAAACCACTTCCAAAATATACTATTGTCAACCGAACCAATATCCCTACATTTGCATAATAAGCTCCTGAAAATATCACAAACCATTATATATACTCTAGATACCCTAGAACTTGAAAATTCTCCGTAAAAACCACTATACAAGCCATGGCAGGAAAAAAAAGGAGAACTGCTCCAGGGCCTTCTGAAATGAAGTAGGACAATACCAAAACAATGTAAAAACACACAAACTGGGTTACTGTAATGGTCATTTAGTCCCAAATGATTACTACCATTAACAATTATCAAAGATCATTCACAATTATCACAATGATAGCTACCATTTATTGAGCACTTATTGAGTGCTAGGCCTTGGACTAAGCACTTTATATACACTATCTCCTCTAATCCTCATGAGACACATGGCATTATCAGAGGGTTAATTATTAATAACTTGCCCAAAAGTCTCAACTACAAGATCTTTCTGTTTATGCTCCTACAGGTATTTCTCCAACACTGCTATCTCTGGTCTAAAGTAAACAATTGAAACCTCACCAAGGATAAGACGACTCTCTCCCTCTCTTTGGTTCCAATTCCCTTTGGAAGAATCCTGTGTTCTGTGGACCTAAGACTATAATGGACCATCCTGAGAAAAATAAAACTGCAGCAGCTCCTGGTCCTTTGTCTCAACACAAGGCACTATGCTGGACAATTTACATGCCAGCCATCATCTGACCCTCACAACACCTCCATGATGTAGGAATTATTAGCCTAGATTTTTGTCTAAGACCACAAAGGCTCAAAGACATTATGTTAACTTGCTCAAGCTCACTAGAAGTGACAGAGCCACTGAATTTGAACCCAAGCCTCTCCAACTTCAAAACCTGTGCTCTTTCGAGTGGAAATACATCACAGATAGATGTATGGTTTCTGTCCACTTCCTGGACTTAGGAAGCGCTTCCTACAGTTTTTTCCCATAAATTTGGCATTTCATTACCTAGTTTTCCTTTTAGCAAACTCTGAGATTATACTCAGGAATTTGTGAAATTATAAGATGTACTAGTCATTAAAAGAGGCACCCCTGAAGAATCTCAAACCTAATATTTCTTCATTTTATTTCCCACCTTTTAATCAAGTTCTCTTTTTATAAGTAAATGCTTTTCCTAAACAGCAACTCTCCATTCGGATTTCCAATTTGTCTTAAAACATATCAAGCACGAGTCCACAACTAATATTCTCTCTCTCACACAGCGCCAGGTCTCTCTGCCATCCTGCTCATACTCTGATCTTTTCCAAATAAGTCAATTCATTCATTGGTCCAATACTTATAACCACTTGCTCTGTGTCAGGCACTGTGCTGGTTTACCCCACTTGTCTGCATTTCTCAAAACACTTTAAGCTCCAAGAGGGCAAAGACCATGTTTGTCTGGCCCCATGGTACCCTATCCATCCCCCCACCCCTCCCACCCTGGCTGGCACAAAGTGCTCAAAAAAAGTTTGTTGAAGGAATGGAAACAGTTTAAGCAACTCACTAGTGTAAAACCACAACAGTCATCCATCCACTCTTCCTCAGAAGGTGGCAGGTACACAGCAGATGCCTTTGCTGATTACAGAAAGCTAGATACTCCATCAAGTCATCCCCAGGGTTATCATAATGAAAAGGGTAAAAGTGTATCGCAAAGACTGTGACGCAATTTCCAGCCCGGCATGGAGGGAGTCTGCCAAAGCATCCGTTAAAGGTCAACTGGGTTGCCGGGAAACCTGCCCTTGTACCGGGGCCCCAGGCCCAAAGAGACCGGAAGCCGTAGTCCCAAATTCAGCAACTGTTGACAAGGACAGAGGAGGCCTAGGAAGGTGGAAAAATTAAGCCTGACAGTCACTCGAGCCCAGTCAGGGGATGGGAGCGCAAGTGACGACAGGGTCCAAACAGCTACCATTCTCCTCTTCTGGGCTCCCCTCCCCTCCCCTTATCCCACCGCACTCATGGCCTCGTCAATGTCCGTCCTCACTGAGGTGCCCGAGACCGAGAAGCTCCGGATGCTCGCCGTCGGAGCACCGGGAAGAGAAGGAGCCCTGGGGCCTGGCCTAGCAATCACCCTCCCCTGACTCAGAGGTTATGGCCTGGGGCCATCGCCATAGAACTAGAGGCCTGGCAGCCGCTCTGGGAAAAGGAACTGCCCGCCGGGACCACGTGCTCACCTGCGGCTAAGCCCGCACTCCTCGGCCCGGCCCCCAGCTCTCCGCCCGCTTGCCGGGAGCACGGAGGACTCCGCTCCCAGCGGCCCGCGGGGCCTCGCCTGTGACCCCGCCCACGGGCTGCGAGACCTCTCAGAGCTCAGGGATTGGCTGAGCTCCAGCCACAAGACGGCAGGAAGCTAGGCGTCCGCAACGCTCCCCGCCGCGCTGAGATGGGCACAGCGCCCCCTAGTGGCCGGGAGGTTTCCCAGTAACGTGGCCACGTGTTTTTTGCGTGGAGAAAGTGAAAGATCATCCAATCATTTATTTAACTGACTTTTTTCTTTTTTTTGAGCAGGTTCTCAGGGCTAGAGTGCAGTGATGCACTCATAGCTCACTGCAACCTCAAACTCCTGGGCTCAAGTGATCCTCCTGCCTCAGCCTCCCCAGTAGCTGAGACCAAAGGTGCGTGCCACCACCCCCGGCTATTTTTTTTTTGGTAGAGACGGAGTCTCACTATGGTGTTCAGGCTGGTCTCCAACTCCTGGCCTCAAGTGGCCCTCTGGCCTGGGCCTCCCAAAGTGCTAGGATTACAGGAGTGAGCCACCAGGCCTGGCCTCAACTGACTTTTATTAGGCACCTTCTAAGACCTAGGTCTGGGCATACGAAAACAAAAGTCACGATCACTGACCTCTGAAATTCTCCTTAGCAGAGTCTAATCTAGTGCTTTAAGACCTGTTGGGATATCCAGCTAGCTTTCTAGCTGTGTGAGCTTGGGAACATTATTAACCTGCAGGAGCCTCCCTTCGCTCTTCTGTGTGGAGGTAATAACACCCATTTCTCAGGGATGTTAGATGATAATGCATGTAAAGTACTGTGCCAGGCACACAGCGAGCAGGGAAATGGATGCTAACTATTGTTAGTCTACGAATAATTGAAATATAGTAAAATCTAAGACTTACATGACTCCTCAGGTACAAGTATTTGCTCCCTACTCTGCGTCCCCACTGTACTGTGTACGCTTTATTTTACTTTATTTTCATTGTATTTTAATTATTTGAGACACGGTCTCACTCTGTCACTTGGGCAATGCAGTGGCGTCATCATAGCTCACGGCAACCTCAAACTCCTGGCTTCATGCCAGCCTCCTGCCTCGGCCCTCCAAAGTGCTAGGATCACAGGTGTGAGCCACTGTGCCTGGCCCAGACATCAATTTTATCACATACAGAAAAAAAGCCAAAGCCCAAGCTTCTTAATGCCCCCACAGGGCCCTGCCTTCCCACCCTCATTCCACTAATCTCAGCCTGGCATCTTTCTTTTAGTAGCACACACTAAACCCAGCAGACCAAACTGTTGCACACCTCAGTGCCTTTTTCACCTACCTAGAGTGCCCTTTCCACTTTTCTTTACCAAAGTAGCTCTGGCTCCTTTTTCCAGCTTCAGAGTCACCCCCATATCTAAGAACCCAAAGCTAAGCTCTGCCAGTGAAGATGGAGAAAAAGGAACATTATTGTAGGGACCAAGGGAAAACTCCCCTTTTGCCCTCTGAAGGTTCACTGAAAATCAACGGACAGAAGGCAGATTAATAGGAGAAGAGACATACAAAATTTTATTTTAATGTGCATAGCACAGGGTGGGGGCAGGGGGACACAGGAGACTGATTACCCAGTAACTTAGTGGAGTACAGAAGCGTATATACCCTTTTTTCATTGGGGAGAGGGGAGATGAGGAACATAGACAATTTTTGTGAGGGGCAGCAAATGATTATTAGGGAGAAGAAATAGAAATTAACTTGTAAATGATTCTCTTTGGAATATGAATGAGCCCGAGAGGCAGGTATCATCTAGTGAAATATCCATCCAGGTGTAGTTGCAGTCCTCTGTCTTCTTTGCTGAGATAGATGAGATTTCAGGGCGGGGCGGGAGGAAGGCAATTGTGTTTCTAGTGGAAAGAAGCTTTCTTGGTCAGGTGAGGAAATTACAGAGAGAGAGTCCCTCCCTGCACTTGGGGGAAGGCGGGGGACAAGACAAGGTTAGAGGGACCTTGATTCTGACGCAGTGTCTAAGACCTCTCAGCATGTCAAAGTGCCCGTCTTTGGGGTATCACTTTCTGAGCCCCAACAGTATAAAGAAATATTTAGATCAGTATTAGCACAACTTGTTCACTAGTTGACTATGCAGAGAGGAAAGGGGAACACAATTTGCCTAGAATAACTGGCATTTGGTCACCCAGTCGACATGTGCTAGTAGACCTTGGGGATGCAAAATGACCGGGGCCATCCCTGCCGTCAGCAGATGGGTCTACAGAATGTCCACAGAGTGTGAAACGTGGTGACAGGAGTATGCACAAGCAGCACAGAGGAGGAGCTTCAGCCTAGCCAGGAAGATTCAGGGAAGACTCCCTGGAGGAACCAGCCCTTGAGCTGCTTCTTGAGTAATGGCTGGCTGTTCCCTCAGGCAGAACTGATGGGACTCCAGAGCATAGACTAAGAAGTTAGATAGCCATGGGTTCAAATCCTGACTCTGCTGTCTGCTAATCTCAGAAAAGCTATTTACACTCTTTGTTTATAAAAAGACAGTAATAGTACCCGCCCCCTAGGTTTGCTGTGAGTATTAAATCACCTAAATGTGTATAAAGTGCTTGGCATAGTATTTGGCACCTCCTAAGTGTTCAGTAAATGTTTATTGACATGTGAAGTATTCCCCAAATTTATTCCTTCTTCTCTAATGCCCACTTCCAGCACTACTCATTTATTAAGCCAAAACCCTGAGTGACATCTTCAAGGCCTCCCCATCTTTGCAATATTCCCCAGATCCAGCTAATGGCGTCTATGCCCCCTAAATGTAAGTCAAAGTCGACATCATTATCTCTTACCTGCACAACTTTGGCAGCTCCCTCAATGGTCTCCCTGCCTTCCCGTTGCCCCCTCCAGTCCGTTTCCATTCTATTGGCCAAGGGGTCTTTCAAAAACTTAAATAAAACCATGAAATCTTCACCTTAGGGCCCCCCCAACCTCTGTGGGTCCCTTCTGCCCATATCTCCTCTGCGCCCTGCACAGCCCTGTCCTGTCTCCCCTCTCCAGCCTATGCTCTTCCCGTCATCCCCAACACATGTGTTCTTCCATGCCTTTGCCTAAGCGGGTCCCTTTGCCTGAAATGAATGTTCTCCCTTCTCTTCCTTGACTGTAAAACGCGAGTACATCCAACAAGACCCCATTTCCCCCAGTTCACAAGGTAGCAAGCTTCCCCAGACCCCCTGTGCTATGGTTTGAATGTTTGTCCCCAAAATTCATGCTGAAATTTAATTTCCATTGTTAACAGTATCAAGAGCTGGGACCTTTAAGAGGTGATTAGGCCATGAGGGCTCCACACTCATGGGTGGGACTGGTGCCCATATAAAGATCAAGTTCAGCCCCTTCTTGCTCTCACATTCTGCCATGGGGTTTTGCAGCAAGAAGGCCCTCGAAAGATGCTGGCACCTTGATATTGGACTTCCCAGCCTGTGGAACTGTAAGCCAATAGATATCTGTTCATTATAAATTCCCCAGGCTATGGTATTCTGTTACAGCAGCAGAGAACAGACTAAGCCACCCTGGTTGCTAGAGGCTCCCTCCTCTCATCTCCTCTGCCCCTCAGGAGAGCAGGCCTCCCTTTGTGCCAGAACATTCTGCTATGGCCAGACCGAGAGCAACTCAAGCACAAGGACTGGATCTAATCTTTCGCTTGTCCATGCAGCTCAGCACAACTGCCCATGCGCTAGCAACCAAACGCTTCCCACATCAGCCCCACCCAAGGAGACGTTAGACATCACGTCGCTAGCAAGCCAAGCACAGAGTTGCAGACGCTGACCTGTTCCTTTGTGCCCACTCCCATATACTTCATGATCCTGGGAAACCCCGCCCAGCTTCTGAGAAAAGTCTTAGACCCATAAAAAGAGGGTTAAATTTGGATTCGGCCACTTCCCTGCCTTGTGATTTGAGGTAAGTTGTTTAACCTCTCCAAACCACAGTTACCTCATCTGTAAATTAACAATAACCACTTTATAGGATTGCTCTGAGCAGCGTCTAGTTCAAACCTCACCCAGGTCCCAGTTTTACAGGTGAGAAGACAATCTCAGAGAGGTCAAGTGACCTCGCCAAGGCCTCATTTGGCCCGTCTGTGGGAAACAGACAAATGAGCATTTCTAGAGGAGACCTGTGTGGACAGTCACCTAAGCTAAGCGTTCCCACACCTGTCTGCCCATGAGAATCACAGTGGGCACTTGTTAGAAACTCATTCAAGGGCAGAGAGCCTACTCACAAAGTCTTGGACCAGGCCCAGGAATGTGTGTGGGATCAGCTCCAAACAGATTCACTTCTGGGAATTCAAATCACACTGGAGCCCTCCCCACCTTCCAGGAGGCTCATGTGGGTGTGTAGGTACCAGCTCTTACTTTCCAGAAGCAGTCTACCAAACCAGCCTGTAAAATATGTTTGTGTCCCTCTCCTGTTCAAAACCCTTCTATGGCTCCCCACGCTGTCGGGACCCAGCCCCACTCTCCTCAACGTGACCCAAAAGCCGACATGATCAAGTCTCTGCCTCTTCCCAATGCCTCTTCCTCCTCCAGGCCTTTGCACAGCTGTTCTTGGATCTTGGAACATTCTTCCCAGCCCCAGCCCTCCTTCAGCGGCTAATCCCTAACCATCTTTCTGGCACTCACCCCTGTATTTTAACTGCTTGTTTAATTGTCTGTTTTTCCCACTAGATCATAAGCTCCATAAAGGTAGAAACTACATCTTGTTCGGGGCTATCCCGTGGTGCTTGACAGTGATAAACATCTGCTGAATAAACAAGTGAATGAGAAGAAGTGGTTGGACCAGTGTGGCCCAGAAGAGCAGCCCACCCCCCGGAAGGGTTTCTCCTGCCTCGAGTGGCACATCAACCCAAAGGACTACTCCAGGAGTGAAAAGGGGACTTTCTGGGCGGGGACTTTCAACAAACTCTTTCTAGAAATAAAAGCTCATGATTTGGCATTAGACCTGGGTCCGCCACTTTCAGCCCGCTGACTTTGGACGGGTCATTTAACCTACCCTGAGCTTCAGATTTCTCATCTGTCGTAAGGACAAGCTACATTCGTGTAAAGCACTCACCCCTTGCCTG